CACCAGCCTCTCTGGGAGCACCCTAACGCCACCAAACCATTTGGCTGTGGGCACCTGTGCACAGCCAGGTGGCACAGCGTGCTGCATGCCCCTGCTCTTCTTCCAGAAGCCCCAAAAGTACCCTCACTGTGACCCCACCTTCCTGCCCTTTGGCAGTGCAAGCACACCAGCACTGTCCCCAGGAGCTGACCTGGCAACTGGCAGTGGGGAACCAGGGTCCCCAGCGCCTGCTCCCCAACTTGAGTATGCTCAGGGCAGCCAAGATGCAGGGCTGGCTGTGAAGAGCTACTCAAGGGCTTCACAAAATCAAGCAAGTGGACAATCAAATAGCAGGTGAAGAGAACAGCCTTAGTTGCACACACAGGTGCAGGCTCCAACACAACTATCAACCCTCCAGAACAGATCTGGGAGTCGCTGCTGGCGGTCCTGCAAACATCAGCTCCACACCCACAGCTCAAGCCCGTCACCTGATGGCTGAGTTGGCATTACGAACTTCATCCTCCTCATCATCCTCGTAGTCATCCTCATCATCTGAGTACTGCTGGTGTTGCCGGACTGGGACCCGGCTGCGACCCACTCCTGCTGCAAGGTCTTCCTCCTCCTGCAAAACACCATCACCGATGGTCACTGATGGCTTGCCAGCAGCAGGACAAGGGCAACGATGAGCCCAGCAGCCACGTCCTTGGTCCAGCCGAGCAGCAGGGCCTGCCCCTTTCAACAGTAGAAGAGCCCCTTCCTTCACCTCTTTCTCAGCAGATCCACGTGAACCTGTTTTGACAGGTCAGTCTTTACTCAGAGCCTGGCTGGTAGCAGGGCAGGCAGGCTGCAGGGCCAGGAACGGGCTCAGTGCTGCCCCCTGGAGGTGAGAGACCCACCTCGAGTCGGCCGTGCTGCTGGCCCGGCACTCCGGCCTACCTGCATGGGAGACTTGGCATAGTTGTGATTATCCAGGAAGGCTGGCAACCGCTGCACAATGGGGTTGGGGTTTGCTGGAGGTGCCCCGTTGACACTGCTCGCTGACATCTTTGCCACCGGTTTGGATTTGTTGGGTGGGCTCTGCGTGGCCACAGGGTGGCCCTGGCTGGCGGGCTCACCGGTGCCATCTGCTGTACAAGCACAGCACAGCCTTTCACCTCCAGCACTGTCACTTTACTGGTCTTCCGCCACCCCTTACCCACCCCACGCAGAAGAGCTCTTTTGCTTCACCAGACCATCACACCCACTTCCCATGCCACCTCCAGCTGTCACCAGTGTCCCCAAGCCCATCCATTTTCAAGATCCATGTCCCTCTAACGCTTCTCCCAAGCACAGAGACTTCTACCACAGCCCAGCAGGGCCACATGGAGCTGGGCTTGGAGAAAAGGAAGTGAAGCTGGCCATAAAACTGCTTCAAGTTCCAGGTCAGCCAGCTATTGTCAGCAGGCTGTGCTCGCTCCACGGCAGGCCAGGCTGGCTGGCAACACTGCCCGTACAGGGTTCTACCTGGATGGGGGCTCACTGGAGGCACAGTCTTGCTGGTGGCTGGCTTTGCCTCTTCAGGAGGCTGAGAATCCTGTGTCTTCTGGGTCTGGATCAGCTCAGGCTGAGTTACTCGGATAAGCTTAAAGGCAAATGGCAGACACTTGAGTGCTGGACCAGGGTGATGCAAACCACATCCCTCCCACTTGAGCCCTGCAGAACTCATGAGGGCGAGTCAACTACCAAGCGTCCACATGCACAATCAACTGAGAATGCCATGGGTAACCTCCCAGGAGAGCAGCACGAGGCCCAGCAGAGAGGCTGGTTTCCCCCTCTTCCCAGAAGGCACTTCCCAAGGTAAAACAAATCCCAAGGCCAAACAAATCCCCAAATCCAGGCCCCCCACAGCACAGGGAGATGGTGCTGAAAACAGCACTCAAAACCAGGCCTGCACTCCCTCAAGGCTTGGGCTGTCCACCTGCTGCAGGGCCTCCAGCACAGTCTGGCGATTCATCTTCAGGATGTGCAGCTTGGACTCGTACTTCATCCTCCGATCTGGCACCACCGCCATCAGGTTGAAGCGGATGTCGTGGTAGGGCTCCCTGCAGGAAGGGATAGCAGACGTCACCACGAGCTGGTGGTGGAAAGCCCATCTCCAGGCACGGGGGCTCCTCAGGCTGCCAGCCATGCCCCACACACCTCCTGCGGGCACCTCCCAGGCAGTGCCGCCCCAGCCCTGGCGTTTAACACCAACACACAGGAGGCTTTTCCCCCAAAATCAGCTCAGCTTCACACTGGCTGAAGCAGCATGGCAAGGCTGCTTCAGCCACAACACAAAACCCCCTTCATAGAGTCAGAGGTTGGTTGAGGTAGGAAAGGACCTGTGGAGGTCATCCACTCCAACCCCCTGCTCCAGCAGCGTCACCCAGGAGCACATGCAGATGGCCTTTGAGTATCTCCAAGAATGACGACTCCACCAGCTCTCTGGGCAAACTGTACCAGTGCTTGGTCACCCTCACACCCAAGCATCCAAGAGGCCCAGTTCAGGACTAGAAGCACCATTCCCTCTCCTATGGACTCAAGCTAACAGGGACCTCATCTGGCCACTCTTCTCCTGCACAGGCTTTTGCAGGGACTCTGCGTGCTCTAAAGGCAGGCAAACTGAGGCACGAGAAGGCGGGGAGGCAGCGCACCTGCACCTCTCCCCAAGCAACATTCTCCACCCTCATTTCCGCAGCTTGTTGCGGAGAGACCACCACAGAAATAATCCAGGGAAAAACAGCGAGCGGCCAGTGCCTGCGCCACGGCCCAGGACATTACCCAGCAGTGGCCAGGCCGATGCGCTCCATGATCACTCTCCTGGCTTTGTCCGTCCATTCCTCGTCGTCAGCCCACGGCCCTGTGGTAACGAGACAGGGCTGGAATCGGCAAAGCAGGAAAGGCTCCCACCTCAGACTCACAGAGCAGATCCTGCCATCCCCACGACAGGCCATCTCACGTCTCCCTTACATACTAGGGAGTGAGTCAAGAAGGGGCCCAGGAGGCAGGAGGACCATGCCGTCAGCCCACACGTGGAACCCCCTGCCTCTGCCTTCCAAATGGAAAACATGAGCTATCTGCAGGGTGCAAAGGTGAATTTTGAACCCTAAAGGCCACAAGCGACTCACAGGCTCTAGGGCTCAGGAAGTCCAAGGAGATCCCTGGGATTTAGTGCCATGCCTAAGTACCCCAGGCACATCAAAAGGGCAGCTTACCAAAGGGCCTGACAGACAGAAGCAAAGTCCTAATGGGGATAAATCTCTGCCAGGACCTTGTGCGTCAATGGGCACAGGTCACTTGACACAAGGAGATGGCAATGAGGAGAGCCCTTCTGCTTGTGATATTGAGTTAATTCAGAGCTGCAGAAGAACCTTGTGACTTGAGCAATGGAGGAAGGAAATGTCAAGGCTGGAAAAAGCAACGCAGTGTATTTAGAAATAATTGGCTTCTAGACACAGTTCCCAGACGGCAGCCTCCAAAATGAGCTCTCAAAACTCAGGACAAATCTGAGAATTGTTGGAAAGATTCTCCACAAACATCAGCCAAAGCTAAGCGGTGATGGAAAAATAACACCTAGATTTGGACACACCAGGGCATCTATTTGACTGCATTAATTAATAGGGACAGATGGGCTCTTACCGTGGTCAATGGGATAGACCTTGAGCCCATCCAGCTCAAAGAGCCGTCCCTTGATAGGGACATAGCTGACAAAATGGAAGGCCTCCATGGTTCGCACAGCGCTGATGCCGTTCTGCTTTTCTGGCAAATGCCGTGGCTCTGGCCTGTGGGGGCAGGAGAAGAGAGCTCAGCGGGCAGCCTGCCTCCTCCAGCGGGAGCCAGAGCCCCCTCACCCACCTGGCATGGCTGTTGTGGGCCTTGGCCAGCTCCGGGGCATTGCCGATGGCATAGCCTTTACTCTGCAGGGAAGAGCAAGAGAGGAAAACGACTGAGAAGTGGCAGGAAACAAAGAAAATGCTTCACCCACCGGCTTCCTGCTCCCTCCAATCATATACGGGCTGGGAGAGCAACTTTCAGGCACGCCTCTCTGCTCTGCTGAGTTACCCAAGAAACTCGGGTGAAACCCAAGATGAAAAGAACACAGAATTTCTGCTAAAAAATGATAGAGAGAAACACAGACTTCAAGACAGGTCTAAAGGCAGGAGAGAGAACTGTTGATCACCGACTTTGAGAGCTCTGTCCAACCTGACCTGGAATGGTTCCAGGGTTGGAGAATCTACCACCTCTCTGGACAACGTGTGCCAGTGTCTCACCACCCTCATGATGGTGATCGTGAAGATGAAGATGAGAGAGAAGAGACAATGCAGATACAGCACACAGCCAGGAAGGGCTGGAAAGGAGCCCAAGAGGGGAGCAAGAGGCAGATTCCCACACAGCACCCATGCACAGCCCTGCACGCCCCCAGCCCCACCTCAGGGCTGAATCCCTTGGTGAAGTCCTTCATGCGGCTCAGCGTGGGGCCCAAGTCAACATTGTTGCAGTTCAGGAGGACACTCAGCAGGGCGTGGGTGGCACAGGAATTGGGGATCAGCTGGAGGGTGACACAAGGACCGTATTAACTCACATGAACTGGGCAACCCTTCCAACAACCCCTCAGAGTCAACAGTAATCAATTAAAATGTATTGACATGAGGACCACTCGTGGGAGTGGTGACTTGACCTTGGCTCTCAAAGGAGGGGAGGTTGGTCTCGTTCAGGGAGCCACAACGTGCCCCTGTGAGCACCTGCTCGTAGCCCTTGCTGGATTCCCTCCAACCTGGAGCTCACGACAGAGAATCCCAGGAAAAGAGAGCTTTCCTCAAGACCAGCAGGAGCAGTGCAGCCTCTCAGCACCATGTGGCTTCCCTGGGGCATCACACAAGACACCCCCACGTACGCTCTCCCCTCACCTCCAGCCTACCTGGTGAGCAAAGAACATGTTATTAACGATGTCATCGTCGATCACCGATGTCTCATCCACCAGGGTAGAGACCTTCCGCCGGGACCTGCGCTCCTCAATCCACTTGAACAGGAAGATGAACCCATACACAGGGCTGCGGAGAGAAGTCGGCAGCTGCATTGTTGTGGATGGACCACACCGGCAGGGCTGCTCTGCCCAGCACCAGAAAACCTCCATTTCAAACCACAGGCAACACAAAGGCAGAAGGGAAAGGCAGAACCAGCAGCCCCATCTTCCTGGAAGCAACCAGCCCTGCCCCAAGTCCTCCCAGCCCCACACTACCAAGGACACTCGTCTGCACTGGTGCTCCAGGCTCAGCCAACAATCAAGCTTGAAAACTTTTGGCTTTAACAGGTCTTAAGAGACTCAAGACAAAGAAACAGGTGGTTAAATCCACCTCTGGACACTGACTGACCTGCAGAATAGTGCCTGGCCAACAAATGACACCTCCTTTTAAACACGGGTTGTATTCAAGAGGACTTCAGACAACAGCTTTTAAGACAGCCATGGCCCTTGAGGCTGTTTCAAAGCCCCAAGATAGGGAGGAAGCCCACGCAGCAAGCGTACCCACACTGCACCCCTCTGTGGGGAAAAGGAGATGACTCCCTTGAAGCATGTCTCCCACCTGCTCCACGGGGACTTTTTCAAGGCACAGGATCACCCATCTGTCCCAAACCCGACGAAGCACTCCTGCTTCATTCTGTACCATGCTGACATCCATGACCCACGGGCCCTTCTGAACGCCTGGCCATGAGCTCGAGCCCCAGACACATTCTGCTTAATAAAACTCACAATTCCACGTCTGTGACTTACCCTTGGCATTTGCTCTGCAGATCATAAATCTCTTCAACCTGCACTCCCTTGACCCCTGCAAAAAAATGGTAGAAGCTGGTGTAAAGCCCACCAGAGAGGACGTGGGGTGATATCGAACACAAAATCAACTCCCCAGGAAGGTTTCTTGCACTCACCAAAATCTTCAACCAGGAGTGTGAAGAGACCTGGGAAGGAACAAAATCAACAGGTTAGTTCTGGCTGAGAAGAGCAGAGAGGAAACAAGGAAACCTGCTGCCACCAGAGGTCCCATGTGGTGCCATGGCCGGAGACTTCCAGGGGTCCCTTCCAGCTGCATTTTTCCTCTGATTCATTTCAATATTTCATATTACCTCAGCATCCATGACAGACACAGTCCTGCCGCTGCCAGCACTCCTGGAACGCCCAAAATCCACCTTCCCAATTATTTGGGTTGGCCAGAGGAAACATTCTGGTGTTCACAAGCACATGCAGCAGTATGCCAGCAGCCTGGAGATTCCCAAGGCTCCCAGAAAACAATTCTGGCAATTTCCCAGGACCAGTAAAAAGAAGGTAAAGGGCAGCAAAATTTGGGCTGACTGGGGGAAAAATAGCAGGCCTTCGCTGAGCACAAGAAGATGAGTGTAATGCCAGGGGTCCAGTGTCCTCACCCACAGCCTCAGAAATACATTGTGACACCCTGAGGGCTGGCTCTCAGCTCCCAAATGATGACCCCAAATCACACCATGGCAACTCAAGAGATGTTGAAACAACACTCAGCCAATGCCCCGGCCAACTCCAGCTCTGATCCTCAAATCCTAACCCGCCAAACAAACTGTGGACTCCACCACAGGAGCCACCTTCTCCATCACAGTGTAAAGTGGATGCCTGTGACACTGCTTCCCACTGCTCAGGTGCCATGTCGGGCCCTCAGCACCTTCCCAAGTGCTGATGGGATCTGACACGCACAGGCTGGAGATACCACCCTCACGTACTCCTCAGCGGCACAGGTTGTCCTCAACTGCCCACGGAGCTCTGGGGCAAGCACCAGTCAGAGCAGTTTCTGCAGCAAGGGGCATCCTATACGCATGCCTCTCCCTGTATTTCATTGACATTTTGGGGTGTGTTTGCAAACCATGGGAATGCTTCATGCTACACGCTCACAGCATTCCAGATGTGTTCCACAGAGACCCCTGAGTTTATCAGGTCACATAGACACAGATGGATGTCTGGGGCACCTCAGACCCATGAACAAGTGTCACCAGGGCCCAGGCCCCACTCTGAGCCTTCACCACACTCCTGCAGCCCTTCTCAACTCATCTCTTCATGCCTACACCCAGCCCAGCCGTCTGACATCCCCTTTTCTGACTGCCCTACACCCCATAACCTCTCCCTAACCCCGCAGGGGTTACGTCCTGTTCACCGTAACCCCGCACAGCCCGCCTCTGCCCCAGGACCCACTCTACTCCGGCCCCGTACACACCTACACCCTCGTCTGCCCTCCCAATCCTCCACCCATGCCCCAGGCACCGTCT